AGGGGGGCGATCTCTCTGAGCCAGTCACCAGCGAAGTTGCCTCGGCTCGCCGCGCGTCAACAGGCAGGGACACATCCCTGGAATTTCTCGGTCGAAAACTTTTCTCCGGTGTATCGACTTACCCGTATCGCCACGTCACACGCAAACTATTCGTCTTCCAGCGCTCAAAGAGAGGCGCGGCGACGCTTAATAAAGTAACTTTATTCGTCCCAAGAGTGATCGACGCTGAAACACCAACATTCTTTGTGTTAACGCTGGAAGCTGGGTTTCTACAATATGTAAATGTTTCAATAAAATAAATGTCTACATTTGCTGCTCTCTTTAGAAATTGTTTTCGAAAATGTTATTTCGCATAATAATCTGCAGTCTAGTCGTAACTAAAGTGGTGGGCTACACTAATTTCTTGCGTGCAGCGGAAATCGATGAAACTACAGAAAAGAGAATAATAGAACAAGAGAAATAGAATAACATGGGAGTGTCGGAGACTCCATCTCGGTACTAGACACGGGTCAGGTTACATTTCGGATGAATAATGGGAACAGACTCGCGGAACTGCGGTTGAACGAGATTCGCAGCCAATTTCTCGTTTGGAATTACACATCGGCGGGGAGGGGGAAAAATCGGACATCGGTCGACTCCCACGCGGTCCTGTATAATGTACCTACGTGTGTAGCGGGATAAGGGGAAGCTGCCCGAGGGAGAGATCTCGTCTGCAAAAGCAGTCAGTCGACGGTTGTAACAATAGGAGCAGAAACTGGTTTCCGAATGGGCAAAAATCGGCGGCGGCGGCTGTGTCTCGTGGTCGACTTTCACGTGCATAGTGCTACCTCGTATCATCGACGCTGACCACGGGGAACATTAAGATCCCTTTTTCACGGAAAGTTTCGATGGAAAGCCCCGTATCACAGTGCCCCACCCCCCTGTTTGTGTTATCCCTTTTGTGTCTATTGAAACAGAATGGTTAGGGAGGATAACTACTTTGCTAACTACACTTTTCGCACATTTAGCATGATGTGACCCATGGGTGGTGGGTCATTCTATTAGTTTTACGTCTTTTGAGAAGAAATTGTTAGTTGAATTTTGTTTTTTTGTTTTTTTTTTGCGGTAGAAAGTTGTGTATAACGACGTATGTGCCTCAGGAGCAAACTCGACTTCCACTAGGGGAAAAAGTGACGCAAGGGAAGGGCCATCTATCATTTGGTCTTGGGAATTACTGAAATTTATGGGAAAGTAACAATCGGTTTAACATTTACTTCAGGCCTGGGTTAAGATTTTTTTTGTCCGGTGCTATGAAGCTTTCGAGGGCCCCCTTGGTTGGAAAGCAGGGGGAGGGGATTTTTGTAATGTAACACAATAAAATACATAAATCTCTAAAAATTGAAATTTATTCTAAGTAAAATTAAATAACGTTTAATCAATGGGGTCAGGGGCTACTCTTCCTTGATCCGGCGCTGATGTACTTCCAACTTATCGAAAACTGTCAGAGCGTATTGTTACCGATGATTAATGACAGTGATACGTATAAAATGTTGGATAGTTTCGTGGGTATTTCGAGAGGTATCGGCGCAAGTTTCATAATTATAGAATTTCGTTATTACATCACGCGGTTTTCCTTGTTGAATTTAACATTTTCGTTCAGACGACTACGAAGATCTCTATTTCATCGCGTTTCCGAGAAAATGAAATTGCACCGGTACAGATCCTTTCAATTTCTCTGAGCTGTAATTTAAACATACAAAAACCGATCCGTGTTTCTGACAATGTAAGATTATATTCTCATGGATTTCTCTGAAATGGTCTTTCTTTATTCGTGCTGTAACATTTTTTTTTTAATCTCTCCTATCGGAACTTACGAAGGGTAAACATTTCTTGGTATTATTGTCAGGTTCACCTGTCGCGACACGATGGAAACGTTACTTCGAGCCCCGTACCACTTCCGCCCTGAAATTTCGATTCTTTTTTTGCAAAAGTTTCGCGCTCGATATTCGATCTGCAAAACCAATTTCCTTGTGGCATTTCCCTTATTTCTAGATATATTTTGCGTCTTCTGCCGACTACATATACACTATATCAGACTTCCCGTTCGGGAGGATAATTTTTCTTGTCGAGGTGCAAAAAAAATCTTCCGTATTCTCTCGAATTCTTCATTTTTAATATACACCGTGTTCGGTCTGTTTAACAGCCCGATAAAACGGGTGTTCACAATTTTACTAAAGTAATTTCCGGTATAAACATTGAAAAATTAATTAATCGATTAGTAAATAATAATCGAATGACAATTACTAAACTTAACAATAATTCGAGAACTTCTAATCGATCCGACGAATCATTTACAATTCACTAAAATTTATATCATTTGGTAAATTTATTTTAAGCACTGAAAAAAATGTTAAATGTTAATTTGACATCAATTTTAGTTTGCTCGTGGGTATATTTATATACATACAGGGTGGTCGAATAAGAATTAACCCCCGAATACCCCGTTCTTTTGCTAATTCTTACTGGATCACCCTGTGTATACATTATCCAACAATCTCCAATCGGAAGCAATAGAATCCCGAGTCGTTCTTAAGTACCACGTTCGCGTCAGTTTCCAAAACCGCCTAATTACACGTGCCGTACCTCGTTCGTCAATACCAGTTAGTTATTGAAAATTTCAATCCTGTATTTCTCTTACACTCGCGGGGTTTCCAACGAACCGAAGAATCCGTACGTGGCAGGTAACGAGGCCGTGTTGGCCGAAGAGGATTGTCCCAGTCCTGGATAGTGTCGGGCATATCGGCCGCATTAAGATTCCTATTGCGAACGATTTGCATCCGCGTGCAAAGAATCCGTTACCCTTTCCACGGAGAGATATTCACGCGTGTGAAAGCATCGACTCGCCGTGTTGTGTCCTTGCCGATAAGAACAATGGTATTGTTGGCACGCGTCAGCGAGGAACGTTTCTCTTTCATTGAGCCGGCCAATAACACCGATGGGGACGTACGTACGTACGCGTCGAATAAACGAACACGTACGGGGCGATCACGTTTGTAACGACATGGGTCGCGTGCACACACACGTCTGATGTACAACACACGAAGGTATGTACACCTCTCCCTGTCAGACGTGAGGTCAATAACAGCCTGGTTTGCAGACGGTGTCATCAAAAATTTCAATATCGGATTTCGATTTTTTTCAACTATCCCAATCTAATTCTTGGACATTAACAAACAATGGTTCGCAAAGAAACAATTTTTGAAGTTGTTTAAAACCTGATTTTCTAACGATTTCGGCGTACACTTTTTTCGAAGCAGTTATTCTTTGAATTACGACATCTAATATTAATAGTCCAGAAAGTAAGAAATCGTCAATTATTATAATCTATGCAAAATTTGTTCACTGAACGCATTATGGCCGAGATTCAGTCACTACTTACTCTCATGCAAATGCGTAAGTTTGTTATAGTTGTATCACAAAGAAAAAACAAAACACGTGTATAGCGATCGAAGAAGTGTTGTTAATTATTTTCCATCCACAATTGCCCGACGAAAGGCGTAATAAATAACGATGACCAACACAAGGTAGCCGTTGTTCTGATCGTTATCATCGTGTGCTCGCTTCTGGCCTGCGTAGTGGCGCAGTGTTCCATAACGATTTCCTTATTCGCGCGGGGGCCTGGTCGGCCATGTTGTTTTTTTTTTTGTCTTTCCTCTTCCCTTTTCGCGAGAGAGATTACGCCCGTATCCGAAGTGCGTGCGAGACGCGGGACCGTTACACGGTGCGCCCGTAAAACGCTATTCAAATGTTCGCGCGCGGCGTATGCCCCACGGATTAGCCATCTCCGCCTCACGGAGGTAAGATGCTTTGGGGAGGGGCAGCGGAGATGTTTTCGCTCGAGTGCTTTGACCGCCATTGTGCCAGGGCCGAGTTATGGCGCCGATAACAGTTTCCGACGGCAATAACGAGATTTCAGTATCAGCCTGACGGGACACGCGAGCATTTAGAAACGGTCTTGTTACACCGTTGCCCGGTTAAGAGGCTAGGGAAAAATTCGTTACGAGTGTATAGTATCCGGGAACCGTGAAGATAGGCGTATCTCTCGATTTTGAATAACAAAAACTTTCGAGAATCGCCCGAAAGCACAGTTCGGAACCTGGCTTATTGTAGGATTGCGGTGCAACTATGTATATTGGGGGATAACCAATCTCGTAGGTGTTCCTGCATTGTGGAGGAATTGCGTCGCGTGATGATGGAGCACGGTGGAATTATTCTCTTGACAGTTTATCGATGAGACCATTATTGGGGCTGATAGTACACAGCTAAGATGGGATTTCGTGGACACGATATTCATTTGACACGGTTTTGTGTAATTTGTAGTAGAAAGTGGTATACAATTTGATGTCGTATACCGTCATCCGCCGACAGAGGTGTTCACCGGGCTCTATATGACCGGAACTTATTTAGGTTATGATTTATAATATACATATTTATAGGTCATAAAATAATCAACAGTAATACGTTGCACACTTCCCCGATTGTGGTCTATTACCCCGGCGCTCGTGGTTCTCTTTTGTATTAAGTTTAAATGTGTATTTCGCTTGTTAGATTATTCCGTTTACAACTTTCGCATCGAAATGAAGTTGAATATCCTCCGATCGAGAGCGTTAAATTTCATTTCGTTCGACGATTATATACTAACACGTCCACTTTCAATGTCAATTGCGTAAAGGATATTGCGATCGACTTCACCAGCGATAACACGTTCCGATTCCAGCTTCCAGTTCAAGGTAGGTTTACTTGTTTTCGAGATAGACACGAATGCGGGTCTGTATCTCACGTACAATACGGCAATGTACACCGACCGCGAAGATTCGCGAAAACTGCTGGCCACCGCTGACTCGAGTTCCTGTCGTGATCCGATCTTTCGCCCGGTTAAAACACTGTCCACGTACACATTTTCGCCGCGTTCGCGTAACACGTTACGACAGAACCAGCGTTATCGGTCCGCTAATTTAGTCTACTCCCTTCTTTACCACCGACTTCCGAGTTTCCTCGATCATCGATATATTGGATTTGCGGAAAAGTAAACGTAGTTTCTGTACAACCAACACCCGTACATCAAAGGCTATATCCATGGACAACGCTGGGATTGGACGCTATTTCAACTTATCGTGGTGTACACTAAGAATTCGCTAACCCTCCGAGCATGGACCGTTAGAACCAACAATCGGGTCAATTCAGACTCTTGACAGAATTTTACGGATACGTATATATGGTGATATTTGATGCGTCCGGTGGCAGAGTCACTCGTGACCCATAAGAAAATTTGTTGCAAACAGGTGCGACGTGCTATGGTTCCGATCGACGGGTCAATCTGTGACCCGACCACAGGACCAAAGTGTTTAAGAAGATAACCTACCGGAAATCTGGTACGTCCTCCAACCGTAGGCGACGTTCAGCTCCTTCTTCCCCTGTAGCAGGCCGAAATGAACCTTGCCGGCGCTCTCCTGCGGATTCGGTGTCCTGATCGGTCGCGCCTCGACCCAGTGTTGGGTCACGAGGGCGGCGCAGACGAGTCCGCCGCCCAGCAACGACAGGAAGAACGTGGCGAAGATTGTGCCTCTGCGGAACATGGACGTCATCCTTGGGTCACGGGGTGTCCGACCAGCCTTCGGATAGTTCGCGATCACTGGGAAGAAAGGAGAAAAGATTTATTGCCGGTGATCATACCGGATGCGTGCAAAACTCCGCATTCCTATCGTAACCGATGTTAGGAACGTACGATACAACACGATCTCCTGAAACTTCGAAATTCCTGCAATCTCGAGGATTCTTGGGAGACCCAAGACTTTGTACTCTGGGGATTCTGTCAGGATCACGACATTTAACCAATATCGCATCAACCTCGAATAGAGGCCTAGAGTCTTCATCCCATTAACGACATTGGAATTACCAAGAAGAATTGCTCATCAACGATTAAGTTTGTCACGAACAGAGATCTGCAGTGTTTTACGTTTTAGATGAATTACAAACCAATCACGACTATAGTTCCTCGAAAATTTACCGTCACGGATAAGGCTAGCGAAAGAAAATGTCGTCGCGCGTGTTTCTCTTTAGCTTGAATCGCCCAGTCGTTAACGCCTGTTCAGAATCTCGTTTCGCTTCGCGTTAGAATCACGTGAGTGGTTCGCTCGTTCCGTGCATATATGTGCAGAGTAGTGTTTATCACAAAAGGATCCGATGTTTTTCTTCCTCAAAGTGGTCGAAATGACACCTCATATTTGGAGAATGTTCCTTTCTCCCCGGCGGCGTAGGACGTGGTTTCTCTTTTCAGCAATCCTATACGCGAGTATGTACACAAGACGCTCTCCTCGTTCGAATCGGTTAGTCTACTTGACGACAGCAACTATTTAAATTATGCCACAGAAACTATGCCGCTTTCGCAACAATTATCCGGTCTGCTAGAAAAATACACAGGCGTGAAAGCGCCTCGAAAGCGAACCGCTCGATATTTTGAAAACGATTCTTTTTTAACTGTACGCTGAATTGAATTTTTACAAATTTTTTATATTAGTGATAAAACTGGCACGATTGTCATCCGATTTTTACATTCTCTGGATAATACCTATAAGGGCAGATTTTTTCGAGAACATAAATATTTTATAATTTCAGTGTCATCGAATTGGTAAAGAGAAGAATTCTGAATCATATGAACAACGCCGGGCCGCCATTGAAATTTCGTCTGTTATATTCAAGTTCAAATAACTATACTCTATATGCTCTATATACTCTACATACTCTACACTCTAAAATTTACTTATTTCGAACTATACATATACTGTTCCATACTGTACTTATATTCTGTAATATACCTTAATATTCTCACATAACAAAAGGGACTTGCCGTAAATAAATTTACATTATTATTACTATTATTATAAATAACAAGCTCGTTAGTTCCCGAAAGAAACCACGGCAAAATTCCGTTGATCACGTACCTTGTCCCTGGTTCTCGACGAAGTGCACTTGGCTCAGGCTCCTCGAGAACTCGCCCTGCTTGACCTTCTGCGAGAAGTCCGCGTGGCCGAGCCTCTTCGAGAACTTGACACGGCAGTTACTGCCGCGAGGAGGTTTCCCCGGTCTGACTAACGACGACGGTCTGGGTCGTCTCGCGAACGTGTACGGGATAGTGTAGGGCTGGGCTACGTAAAAGTATATCGGCCGGTAGTCCTCATGGAGATGATGATGCTGCTGCTGTTGCTGATGCTGGACGAAACCGCCACCGTTCGCCGGGGGATAACTGCTGTACAAGCTCGGCGCTCCGTTGCTGTACGCGTACGAGCCCGTATAGTGGACCCCGTAGTGGTTCGCCGTTTTTCGTGACTTGCTTTCCACCGTTTTGAAAAATTAAACGGAGAGGAAATCGTTCCTCCCGACAGCTTTGTATTCTTTCGACGAACAAAACCCCTTTACCCCTTCCCTTCTACCTTAACTCTCGTGTTCCAAGACGACCCTCTGATCTTTTGTGGATCATGGACTCCCTATTATTCCAAACTATCTGTCCTCGAATTGTTAGACTTTCACGTTTTTCATACTTCGGTCATCCGAGTTCTCGGTGTCGACTATCCTCGATCTTCGTATTATTGTCGAAGGTATTGGAAGCTAGGATAGTCTGAAGTTCGAAAATAGGGTATTGGAGCAGATCCGGATCTTCGAACTGATCGTCGACAAATTCGGAATTTCCATCGATTACCATAATAATCTATCCCTCGATGGACCCCTGTTCGTGATGTAACAGATGTGCCAACCCGGTCGCCGCTTTCCTCGGAGGGAGGGGGGTGTCTTTCTCAAAATTTAAGCTCTATTTCCTATTAACTATGCACTCGTCGAGACCGACATGATTTATCGTTCCACCGCGAGTTCCCTTTCACCGTTACCCAGGTTAGAGGAGGGAGGCCCTTTCCTCCGAGCGATCTTTTTATCAAGAGCAGCAAGAAGTATCTCAATGATTTACTACTTTTCTTGCGAGCTCCCTTCGATCGTTACAGGTATATCCAGATATCGCTTTAACCCCGGGCCAAACTCGACTCTACACAATTCTCTATCAATTATTACCTCGTGCTCTTGTCCGTTCCGATCGCAACGGTTAATTCTTCCCCGTCTCAAGCATCCTCCCCCTCCCTGAACAAAGAACCATTCGTAATTGGCGATCGAATTATCCCATATAAACAAGAACCGTTTTCACGAGTTACCACCACCGTTGTACGAAAGAGAAAAATCCCCCTTTCGATGAACGCTCTCCCTAATCGTTAATTAGCCGTGGGCACGTGTCCCTTAAAAGTTTTTCAGGGCTCCTCGAGTATCAGCCACCGGTTCAAAGTTAACTCGAATCCCCCCCCCCCAGCCTATATTTGCATGCAAGAGCGCGAAACAGCAGCCCGTGGACTCCTCGTGTTTCTTTCGCGCTGTTTTGAATGAGAAAGGGGATCCTCTTTTAGGACGCAAGCTCTCCGCTGTTTCTTTTTGCATGAATATTCTTAACGCCGCCGTTACGTCATAACGGGATCCCTCTTGGTTTTTTTTCTCCTCTCCTTTAATTACCACTAACCCCCAGTAGACGGTGCACAGTCTATTCCTGACAAAAAAATCTCCTAAAGCCTGGCCACCGGATGGAAAATCTGAATACGGTGTCGAGCTACTGGTATCGGTTAGACGTCCCCCCCACCCCCCATTCCCGTTTAAAAATCCGTGAGCTTAATCCCCTTTGTCGGTTATGTTCCTCGAGATCCCGGTCCTCCACGACGAGAGTATATATAAGTGGGCCAGGTATCGGATCGAAAAGGGGCTGGACCTCGATTCGAAGAAAATGGGAGAAGCACTGTGGAGTCAGTCCTCTCTTGGCTCTTCGATTTGTAATAAACTGCAGAATCCTGCGGACAGGCACGGAGAGCGCGGACGTGCACGGCTCGGAAATTGTGTCACCGACGGGTCCTCGTATCCGTGCGCGCGGTTTTGTCCTTTTCCCTCCTTTTACGACCGTCCTCCAGCGGCCCCACCGGTTCGGTATCAACCACCCCCGAACCACCACGCCTGGAACTTATTGTGCCGTACGACGTCGCGAGATTCTTCTCTGTCCACGATGCTTCGTCGGGATTCGCCTCGAGTGCCGCTCGATGTCCAGATATCCCGTGCACGGCGTCCCAGCGTGCGCTTTTCGTCCTCTCGCCGTTTCGCGTTTTGTCAACTGTAAACAATGGTGCACGGTGAGGAACGGGACGACTCGAAAGTTACGAGACCCACGGACAGATGGTCCTCGATACTCGAAAGACGGAGAATGGAGAATTTTTGTTGGTTTTTTTTTTTTTTTTTTTGGATATTGTTCAGCCACGAGCAAACTCGGATTCCATTAGGGGAAAATGTAATGCGGGGAAAGGGCCTCCTAGCATTTGGTATTGAGAATTATTAAAATTTATGTCTAATTAATATTCAATTTAACATTTATTTCGGTACATGGAATAAATTTACCAAGTGGTAGAAGACCTTCCTATTACGCCGAACCCGTCAAAATGATGGATTCCAGATTTATTATTGTACAATTATTGAGATCCTAGAGATAGTTTCTTCGGAATTCATGGTAACCTGTAATTTCTTATACACTTTATATTATAGTATACGAAGCTATACTCGATTACATATTAAACATATTAACATATTAAGATGTAAAGATAACATCGATCGAAACTGGATTTAATAAACGTGTATACCATTCATTTTCTTTGAGTCGAAGTGAAATTCTGTTTAATTGGTATTAATATTTAAGAATTAGAGTAAATGATACACTTGCCCTAAGAATAAAATTCCTTTCGTATCTGGAAAATTACTAACGATAAAGTAATGCTTGAAAGTACAGTCATAAAAGAAATCGTAAGGCAAGAGGTTAATCGGGTATAATGATTATTGCGACAAAGTATATCGAGTGCCAGAAAACCGATTAAAAAATTGACTATTCGGTAATAAGATCGTGAAACATAACGCTTGATATAAATTCTTTTATTTCTCCGGCCCTTCTCGAGTTGCTCGTCGATGTTTCCGAAATGAGTTCGCGTTGGTATTCATGAATAACGCCGTCGAGTAGCATTCTTGACGTAACTGGAACGGCAATTGCGCGGGCCGTTATATATTGCATTCACGCGTCCCGGCGAGCTTTTTACAAATCGTTTAAATTATTCCTACGTTACCGTCCGTTTCCATTTTCACCCGCTGGCGGGATCACGCCGACCGGAAAGTAACTCGGGGTAGAGCTAAATACGCTGGGCCGAAAAACCGGCCACCACGCGAGCGGAACTGACCGAAAAACGTCACTGAAATATCTGACGAAGTGATCCCCGAACCGAAACACGCTGCTGTTGCCTTGAAAAACGGGTTCGCGAGTTACGCGACACCATGGATAGCCGACTAGTCTCTTGTCGATGATCCTAGCACCGATTTTCGTAATCGAAACCTTGATGCCGGGACGCTGACATTAATACCAGTTATGTTAATGGGAAACGATAACGGTCGCCGATCGGATTTATCTACCGAGGGTAATAAGAGATACAGCCAAGGATAAATTAATTTGCTCCCGTGGGCATTTCCCTCTTCG